TAAACCCTATGGTTTGATCCGAAGGGACCAGGGGTGGAGATTGTAATGGAAACACCTTTAAATTGTTGTAACCCATGATTTGAGTTGCATGTTATAGGAATTACTGTAGCAGGAACCCCTTGTTCCAAGCCAGAGCAGGGGCAAGGGGAGGAGTTCATTGCAATGTTAAACCCTATGGTTTGATCTGAAGGGACCAGGGGTGGAAATTGTAATGGAAATACCTTTAAATTGTTGTAACCCATGATTTGAGTTGCATGTTATAGGAATTACTGTAGCAGGAACCCCTTGTTGCTAGCCAGGCTAGGAGCAAGGGCAGGAGTTCATTGCAATGTTAAACCCTATAACCTGGCCCAAAGGGACCAGGGGTGGAGATTGTAATGGAAATACCTTTAAATTGTTGTAACCCATGATTTGAGTTGCATGTTATAGAAATTACTATAGCAGGAACCACCTGAACCAGTGGAGGACAAGCCTTACAAGAAGCAGTGTAAGTGCAGCAGTGACCTGACCCGAACCTGTACTGCTGCACGGGGTTACTTCATCCCAGATGTCTTTACTGAATGTCATGAGTTCTCTGTCAGCCCATTTCTTCAGCTTGTCAAGGTCCCTCTGAATAGCAGCTCTGCCCTCCAGATTATTGACTGTTCCCCATACCCTTGTTCTTGTCCTTTTTGAAGATGGTTGTGACGTTTGTTTCTCTGCAGCTATCAGGAATATCCCCCAAACATCATAACGTTTTGAAGAAGATAGAAGGTGGCTGCTCAGTGATATCAGTCAGCTCCATAAGGATCCATGGACTTGTGAATGTCCCCAACTTGTTGAAGCACTCTAGCTTCCTGTACCATGGGTTATTCTTCCCTTCCTCAAGGTGCTCCTACTAGGCTCAAGAACCTGAGATTCCTGAGGACAAGCATTGCCTGTAAATACAGACTACCTCAGCCTTTCCATGTCCTTTATCACTAGATCCCCTACCCCATTGAGCAATGGGTCCACATTTTTTTTAGACTTACTTTTGCTGCGCATCTACTTACAGAAGCCTTTCTTGTCACCGTTCACATCCTTCAATAGTTTCAACTCCAGCTGAGCACTGGCTTTCCTGCATCCATCCCTGCATGCTTGGGCAGTGTCTCTCTTTTTCTCTTGGATGGCCTAGGAAGGTGTACTTCCTATTTGTGTTTGAGACCAGTACCCAGTTATCCCAGTTTTGTGTTTGAGACCAGTTGACTGTTACCCATACTAGCCACCTGCCACGCTTGCTCAGCTTCCTGCACATCAGCACGGATAGTTCTTGCACTCTGAGGAGGTCATCCTAGCAAATCAGCCAGCTCTTTGGGGCCCCTTTGCTCTTCATGGTAGTCTCACATATGATCCTGCCAAGCAGATACCTGAGCAACCACTTGCTCACTTATTTTATGATTTTAAAGTCCACAGTCTCATGGTCATTGCAGATGAGACCCTTGATCGTTGCATTTCCAACCAGTTCCTTCTTGTTTGTGAGTAACAGAACCAGCAGATCATCTTCTCTAGCTGGATTGTTGATCACCTGCATCGACCCAGTATCAATAACACACACCAGAAATCTCCTGGATTGCTTGCGCCAAGCCATATTGCCCTTCTAGCAGACGTCAGGTGGTTCCCCTGAGTGCAGGGGCCAGCAATCATGAGGCTTCCTCCTCCAGTTGCCTAAAGACTTTGTGGACTTCACCTTCTTGATCAAGCAGTCTCTGG